GTAGCTCTGTTTCTTCTTCTTCTTCTTTTCAATGTGAGGAATTTATTGAAGTCTCATCCTCTCCTGTGTCCTAGGTGCATGTCCTGCAAGCTCTCGGGGCAGAAATTGTCCGCACACCCACAGCTGCGGCTTTTGATTCACCAGAGTCTCATATACGTACGGCGTGGCGCCTGAAGAACGAGATCCCCAACTCGCAAATCCTCGACCAGTATCGCAATGCAAGCAACCCCCTGGCTCACTACGACACCACGGCTGAGGAGATACTGGAGCAGTGCGATGGTTCGAGCTGATAGAAACTCTGATTTTTGATGCATCTTCTAGCTTGAAGTTGAATTTTTTCAAGAAATGACCCCCCACACCATTAAACCACCACCACCTTGAACCATTAACACAAGATGATCTTATCTTTTATGCCAAATTTTGACCTTACCGTTCGAATGTGGCAGCAGAAGTTTCCCATTCACTCCTGTCAGTGACACCCAGTGTGGTCTTCTGCTGCTGTAACGCAAGATTTGTCTTGTGCAAACAGAGAAGATCTTTTGCAGACCTTAGTTGTAACAAGTGATGATTTGCCTACAGTTTTACGGTGTGTGTTTTATATTTCCTGGAACTTAGATCTATACGTCAAACTGACATGAATGAAGGAAGGCGTATATAGTTTTTCCTGTAACTGCGAATCCTCATGGAACAGGTGTTTATTTGAATCCCAAAAATATATATATTTTGTAGTTTGGAAAAAAAAATGTGTTTCTGTTTTTAGGTAAATTGGACATGTTGGTGGCCGGAGCCGGCACGGGCGGCACACTCACTGGTGTTGCTCGAAAGTTAAAGGAAAGATGTCCAAATGTCAAGGCGAGATTCCCAACCCACTTATCTAGAATCTGGAATAAAAGTTTTGTTTTACTGAGATTTATATTAATCAGTGAAGCAATCCATGTATTGGCAGCTCCAACCCTGCACCGTTTGGAGCCTCTTACCTCAGTTCTCATTTGATTTTTAGATCGTCGGTGTGGATCCTGAAGGCTCTGTTCTGGTTGGCTCAGAGGAGAAAAGTGAAAAGGTTCCATTTGAAGTGGAAGGTATTGGATATGACTTCATCCCCACAGTACTGGACAGATCTGTGAGTATTTTTGTTAACATGCACATTTGTAAAGTGAGTATTTTTGCTAAAC